GGATGGGCGGACCAAAAGTTATTAAAATTAGTTATTTAACTACAAATTAGCTGTAAATTAAGAAAACTGGCCAAACACAGTTGATATGATCGACTTCACCTTCTTCATATAATCTAGAATAGCTTGCAGCCACTTCGTGGCCTTAGCCATTCTGACAATTATATACCAAGGTAGAGGTTTTGTGGGATTTATTTCACTTTGTTAAAACTTGATAAGTGGACAGTTTTACAATGACAATTACTAGCAGGTTAATAAGTGTTTTGGAGTTTTTAAAAATAATTTTAAGCAGTGGTATAGAAAACCTACTGTAGGGTGACTAGGGTCGTCTAAATATTAAAGTTAAATAACCTTATTTATGATGATATTGGGGGTATGGGGCAGAGCCCCTTAATGTTTTACATTCTTCTAGTATTTAAATTGTTATTTATTATTGTAGATATGTAGTGTCCTGCAGTATGTTTGTCATAAAGAATCATTGACTATACCAGATACACTAGCCAAGAGGATTGCAGAGAAGTCAGAGAGAAACCTTCGTAAAGCTATACTGCTTTGTGAGGCGTGTCGTGTTCAGCAGTAAGTGAATCATGATTGAGACACCAAACAGATCTGATTGGGTGCATGTGTTTGCTGCATGGTCAATTAATCATTCATGATGAGGAGCTTGTTGTGAATTCCTTGTCACTTGTGTGAGTAATAATTAATTGGCCATACAGCATTGAGCAAACACATGCAACCAATCAGATCTTGTTGAGTGTCAATTGTAATGATATTAATTATGTGCTTTATTTTGACAACTCTTTATTTTGGTGATTTGCTATAAAATTTTAATTAGCGGTTTTTAATTTGACAATTTTTGTGTACACATGCATTACTGAGCATGCGTATTAATGATTGGCAGTTTTAATATTGGCAATTCTGCTTGCAAATTGTCAAAATAAAACTCCGCCAAAATAATGTGCTATATACGGTATGTGCTGTACATTAAGATGAACCTCTTTCGTTCTATCTTTCCCCTTCTTATCTCTTTTTCTCTTCTTCTCGATAGGTATCCCTTCAATGATGATCAGGTTGTTCCTGATTGTGAGTGGGAGGTTTTCTTACGTGAAACAGCTGCAATGATCATCACAGAGCAGAGCCCTAAGAGGTATATTGTAACACAAAAGCAATTGTAATAAATTAATTTAAATGTATTGTCTTTATTTTTGAGGTTACTTGAAGTAAGAGGACGTTATTATGAGCTGTTAACTCATTGTATACCACCTGATATTATTTTTAAAGTAACTAAGAGAGAGAGAGAGAGATAAGAGAATGATAGATTCATAGTGATTTTTGATTGAAAGAGAAAACTTACTTCTACTGGAAGAAAGGGAGAGATTACACATGTACATGTACATGTATATAAAATTAAATTGTAACATTTTTTCTAATATTTTTTTATTCTACAGAGGATATTGACTGAGCTGGTTGCTAACTGTGATGGTACATTGAAAGCTGAAGTGACTCAATTAGCAGCTCAGTATCAAGCTCAGTCACAACTGGGTAGTAAAGCAATCTTTCATCTTGAGGCCTTCACAGCAAAATTTATGAGAATATATAAACAATTTTTAGAGGAAGGACTGGAGAGTATGGGCTTCTGATACAGTGCCTACAATTATTTTAATAATCTCTGTTTACTTTAATAATTATTGATCCGCACAATACTCAGTATAGCACTGAGCCACACGGGGATACCCTGTATATGAACTGAGGGGGTCGTATAGATACTGTATGGTCATATGATTATAGACTAATATTCGTGGTATACCGCAGATATGCAGAGTGGTAAGCCATAGGGCCGCCCTCTGCACATTGTGCACAATCATTTTATAAGCTGCAGTGCAGCACAAATTCACCGGCATTGATAGCAGGACGATAGCCTCGGAAATGGTAGTTCTGCTATTATGTGTAATGTGGTTTAGAAGAGGAGTAAGAGCTTTCAACTTCGTACGAGAGCAGGCAGCTCCTGCACCAGCTCTCCCTCAACCAGAAAGTATGGAACTTACAGGACCTGCAGTGGTTATTGTTGCTGGTTCCTTCTTGTATAAAAATGAAGCACTTCATTTCTTAGTGCATCTCAAGCATGAATCTGAAACCAGATACAGAAAGGAGGAAATGGTTACTGGTTAGTGAAAAAGAAAAGTACTAGCTAATTAATTTTTACTCTTCTATTTGCAAACTCTTTCTGCTGACAATGCATTATAACACCCGGGCACCGAGGGCCGCAGGCCCGAGGACGAGGTGCTGATAAATGAATTTATGTCCCTGCCTAAGCCAAACTTCAAATTAAGGAGATGGCTGCTCTGCTCGCTGCTCTGATAAAGAGAAGACATTGAAACTGAACATAATAGTACTTTTCACAGTAATGACAGCCCGAAGAAGACCCCTAGGAGTACAGTATCAACGCTGCTTCTGGCCGAATTAGGCTATCCGTATATGATTCCAAGTTTCCAACTCTGCCAGGCGTCAGTAGTTGTAGCAAAACGGCCGGCACTATCGTCATGTCTCGATTATACTTACCGAAGTACTTCTTCTGTTGAGTGACAAGTTTATTTTTATTGTTCTTTTTTCACTTGAAATCACCGTCTATTTTGTTATTTTAAAGTTGCAGGCTATGTAAACCGTTGTTAACTACTGAGCAGTGCTTATCATCATTGAAACATCAAAGGGATTTATCATGCCCATAGATATACAAACATCAGCACTGCAGCGTCTTTAGTTGAAGTTTGGCTTAGGTAGGATTAATGGCTGTTTACAGCCTGATCTAGATCTAGACCTATCTCAGTGTATTCATTCAAGGGCCTGGCTTATTTTTGGTGATAGATCTATAAGGCTTTATATACTACTGTTTATTTTCAATAGGTTACATCTAAGATTCTAATTGCAAAAAATGATGGACACTGACTGAACTAGCTACTCAGTCAACTGTATTATTGACTATTATAGCTAGATAGCTACAAACAAAATTGTCTTAAGCTGTCTATCTTTTCTATTGTTTTTTTCCCATAACTATTTTGGTCAAAGTTGAGAGTATTTTCTTAGAGATAGGAGTGCATAGTGCTGAGAGTTCACACTCAGTGTTGTGTACATACTTGTTGCAGCTAGGTCCATGCACATGCAGTCCCTCATGGAAAACTAAAGACAGATCTCTTTAGGCAGCTGGCATTGCTTAAGCATGTAGTGAGTCTGATCATTTATATATAATAGATATTATTTTAAAATAGACATAAAATATACTGGAATGTATGTAAATCTTATAATGCTGTCATAAAAAGATTGTTTCATTGCTATTTGTCGAATTTAGCTGAAAGAATTAACTCAAGGATGTCTGTATCTTTTATCAGTGACTCATTTTCACTGCATGTGAGAGAGAGAAAGGAAAGTTTGAGGAAGAGATAATACGAGTATGAGTTGAGGATAAAACACTCACTCATCTTCAGCCTCATCACTCGTATCATCTTTGTTCTCATTCTTTATACCAACAATGGCTACAGACTACAGTGTCCTCTTCTTGTGCAGTCCTTACCCTACAAGCATTAGACCATGGACAACAACACCTATCAGAGAATAAAGGTTAGGTAATAGCACAGTTGACATAAAACTTGAAAGACTATAGTGCAATAACATTTACTCGTAGAGTTTAATACACTTGGAGATTTCACACAGTATACTATACAAGCAACCAAGCCAACCATAGACTGACAATTGATACCCATTAATGAATAAGTCCACCTATTCCATAATCCTGCCCATTCTCACAGCAGTACAAACAGTGGATTTTTGTAGCCATAGCTATAGAACATGCCCAGCTAGCTAGCTGAGCTGAACACACCTACTGGGCTGTGATATCTTATTCTTGCAGCCATAGCTATAGATATAACATGCCCAGCTGAGCTGAACACACCTACTGGGCTGTGGTATCTTGCACACTAAACAAATTTAGAACACTTTGTACATAAATGAATGAAAAATGATTGGTATAACGGTGACTAATCCCATATGGGCAATCATAATGATGAATGATCATGAACAAGAGCAGTAATAATGATGAATCACTGTATCATTTGCCATATCTAGTACATGGCAGTGTTGAGTGTCATGTATGATATACTTGTATGATGTGTAATAACAGGAGCCCATGAAAGGGATGGGCTCCTGGTAACAAATAATACAGTGTATAGCAAAATAATGCACATAGACAAGTAACGTGATCATTCATCATTATGATTGCCCATATTGAATTAGTTACTGTTAAACCAATCATTTTTCATTCATTCATGTACAAAAAGTGTTCTAAGTTTGTTTCAAGATACCACAGCCCAGTAGGTAGTTCAGCTCAGCTGGGCATGTTATATCTATAGCTATGGCTGCAAGAATAAGATATCACAGCCCAGTAGGTGTGTTCAGCTCAGCTAGCTGGGCATGTTCTATAGCTATGGCTGCGAGAATCCACTGTTTGTACTACTGTGAGAATGGGCAGGATTGTGGAATAAGTCCATCTGGGTGTAATAGCTATTAATGGGTGTCAATTGTCAGTCTATGGTTGGCTTGGTTGCTCAGCAGGAGTTAAGCCCACCATCCACTAGTCAACTTTGTTGAAAAAAACTTTGTGGTTACTTTGATGTGCTGTCAGCTCTGTTGCCTGAAATCAGTTAACATTTTATTATTTGTTAACCTATTATAATCTAATTTAATTACTGTACCTTTCCAGTATCCTCCATCTAAATATGTCAGCAAATACATCCATTAAAGAATTGTTTGAGTTCTGTACAGTAAACTCAATGTCGTTCAGTTCTTCCTTTATCTCTTCCTCAGTGTAGTCCTTACGTAACCTGTGGAGGGTCTTATCTGCTTTCTTGCTCTTCCCTTTCTTCACTAGCCACCTGCAGTGAGGGAATGATGCATTGGAAATTTGGAATGTACATGTATAGATGGGCATTTGTCAGCTTCTATGCTGTACAAATCAATAAAACAATCATATAAAACCTTTGAATTTTTAAATGTAAATTTTGTGAAGCATATAGTAAAATCTATCTGCTGCACATGTATGTACATTTATGTATATTAAAGTTATACATTCCATTTCTTAATCATTAGATCTACTGTATTTACACATGTACATGTACAATAATGCTTTGCTTTCTCATGTAGCTCTTCATGATAGCGTGGCCAGGGGGCTAGCCCCTTAATGTTTTACATTCGTCTAGTTATTATAATAATAATAATAATAATAATAATAATAATAATTATTATTATTATTATTATTTATTGTACCTGGGTGTCTCTGGTAAGAATATCAT